AGACGTTGGGCACCGCGGGCAAGACAAGTGTTACGAGCCCACGGCAGTACACATGATGCCAAATCCACCGAACATTGCCCGTTAAAGTACTTGTAAAAGAGAGAGTGTGAAGCAACATTGCGGCGAAGAGGAAGGGAAGAAAGATTATCAACTAAAGGAGGAGAGTTAATAAGACGAAATGCCTTTGATTCCACCCAATCTAACAGTTGAACAGAAGAAGAGCCACCCCAGATATGAGAGCAATACTCCAAGTTAGGACAAATGAATCCCTTATAAACTTGAAGCAACTGCCCAGGAGTGAAGTAGCTATGGCATCTGTACAGCACTCCCAGCTTTCGGAAGGCAGCTTTAGCAATGTTGTGGATGTGTGGCTTCCATGACATATTAGAGGAAATGGTAAGGCCAAACATATCTATTTTATAATTTGGCAGAATTAATTGCGTTCTGAAATGTGATTGGTGGGGGATCATCTAATTTGGAAAGTGTAATTGGTAAATACTGAGTTTTATTACTATTGAATTGTTGCTGGTATTGCCCTGACTGTATAACCAAAGTAAATGAGGCTATTGCAGATCATAAGAAAAAGAGAAACTTACAGACGAAAATAGAGGAAGCTAGATCCTTGTTGCTTGCCAAACTAGAGCAAGTTGGTAAAGAAATCCTCACTGAGACTGAGAAAGTAGCTGATGAAATAGAGGAAATAATTAGGAAAAGCTTTGCTCAGGTTGCAGCAGGGTCTCAGAATGTGACGGAGAGAAAAACAGGATCCAAACAGGTTTTTCAGTGGCTAGGGACTCTGCAGAATAGATAGGATTCGATGAGGAACAAGGACGAGCGTGCATGCGTCCTATACAAGGGGAAGGTAGTGGAAGCAAGTGCACCAGTATAGAAGCAAGGGACAGTGGGACAACCCCCACCAGCTCCAGCTCGAACCCAGAAGAAGTTGAGCGCCATGTAAACAATGTCATCTCTGACCACGGCTTACAAAATACAAGGGAATCAGTAAACGAGACAGCTGCAGAGAATGGAGGGAGGCCGTATAGTCAATACCAAGACCAGAGATGTTACAGAGGACAAATTCCGTCTTTAAAGTCATGTACATTAACAATGACACGTTCTTTGATAAGAGAGCGAAGTTTACAACACTACTCAAGATACATCAACCTGATATAGTATGTGCTGCAGAAATGTTGTATAAGAACAGGAGAATCGAACCGGAGGAATGTGTGTTCAATATAGATGAATATGACTCGTTTACGAACCTTTCTCAAGCGACTTGCAAGGGGGGTGGGGTTATCTATGCGAGGCAAGACCTTAGAGCCAGCCAGGTGAGGGTGCGGGGAGAGGATGTGTTTGAAGAATCAAAGTAGTGTATAATTAAACTAAAGGGGAGAAACTTACTCGTTGTCGGATGAGTCTACAGATCTCCAAACTGCAGCTTATTAAACCAAAGAGCTCAATCCTGCCAGCTCCTTGTCATGGGAACTTTAACTATGGAGATATTTACTGGAGAAATAAATCCATGCTAAATGACCTTAATAATCCTGCCACTCTTTTCGTAGAAACTCAGAGAACCAATTTTCAATTCCAACATGTTAAAGATCCGACTCGATACAGAGGGGAGCAAACACCCAAAACGCTGAACTACCTAGCCCCCGTTGTCACCAGTCACCACGTAACGTTGTCCTTCAGATTTAACTGTTACTTGGTTCATGAAAAAAGCAGGCAGAGGTTCAAATATTATAAGAAATTGCGATGGGATGAGGGAGGAGATGAGGGGTATTCGCTGGCCTGACTCACTAAGATATAAGAACGCAGACACTCCGCTAAATATCATAGCCAATAAAATTAACCATTTGATCAATAAATATAGACCCAAGACCAAATCCAATGCATCCAGGAAGACAAGGAGACCATTACACGTGAACCATGCGACGGTTGACAAAGTGAAGAAGAAAATTTGGAATTTAAAGACGTGGGCTAGGACAAATGAGGAGCAGGACAGGAGGATGTATGCCAGATCCAGGAACCAAGCAATGTCAGAGTGTAGAAGGGCTGAAAAAGAGTTCGAGGGGCAGAGTGCAAGCGAGGTCAAGTCAAACTCAAAGGTTTTTACAGCTATGAAAAGTCGAAAATAAAAACGTGAGTAGCGGAGCAGGTATACCGAATCTAAGGCTTGAAGATGGTAGTTACGCACTTTCTGACCAGGACAAGGCGGAAGCGTTGAACAAATTCTTTTCCTCGGTGTTCACAAGCGTAGATACGAAAAATTTTCCTGCATTTGAAGAAAGACGGTTTGTCACAGCACTGACCCACATTGTGCTCTCAGAAGAGGGTATGAGAAATAATTTGTTCAAGCTAAAGATTCATAAGAGCCCCGGCCCTGCAATGGTGCACCCCAGAGGGTTAAGAGTTGTGCAACGACCTTGCGGAGCCCCTTAAGATCCTGTTCTGCAAACGCTTGGATGAGCAAATGGAACCCAGAGACTGGAAAATGGCTTATGTGAGTCCTATATTCAAGATGGACGATCGTCACTCCACGAATAATTATAGACCACTGAACCTGTCCAGCATAGTGTGTAAAGTACTAGAGAGCATCATAAGAGATACCATGATGGAACATCGACGACGAAACAACCTTGTTAAGTACCGCCAACACGGATTTATGCAGGGACGCTCCTGCTTAACACTTTTGTTTTCTTTTTTCTTTTTTTTTTACTGGGATTAGCCCACCAGGGCACAGGTCACTGACCCACATTGGGGCCTGTATGTAATAATAATAATAATAATAATAATAATAATAATAATAATAATAATAATAATAATAATAATAATAATAATAATAATAATAATAATAATAATAATAATAATAATAATAATAATAATAATAATAATAATAATAATAATAATAATAATAATAATAATAATAATAATAATAATAATAATAATAATAATAATAATAATAATAATAATAATAATAATAATAATAATAATAATAATAATAATAATAATAATAATAATAATAATGATAAAAATAAAGACATACAAAAATGAAAGAAAAAGAGATCAAGCGTGAGAAACAATATATGTATGTTGTGTTGTCATAGTAAGAGAAACAATTGAGACCCTGCAATTGTGTGTCAATGAAGCAGAAAGTCAGATCAGCAACCTGGGACTTGGTCACAATTTTTGTGGTGCCATATGGCAGCAGGGTCTACCATTAGACAACACATTATGCTTCCAATATCTTCCCAGGCGGTAGTACCTCCCTGTTTGGTAGCTGTCTACTGCCTATTGAAGATCCTGGATGCTTGGACTCAAATTATGGCACAAGGCGGTAATATCGACATTGTCTACCTAGATTTTGCCAAGGCTTTCAACAGCGTACCCTATGAAAGACTGAGAATTAAACTGGAAGGGTACGGGATTCGGGTAAATGTCCTAGCGTGTTTCAGAGACATTCTTCACGATCGCAAGCTGTGTGTGGTGATTAATGGCATGATATCGTCATCTGTACCTGTGACAAGGGGGGTACCACAGGGCAGTGTATTAGTCCCGTTGTTGTTTGTTTGCTTCATAAATGACATGCCAGAAGCTATACACTCCTCCATATAAATGTTTACGGACGATGTCAAGTTATTCAGAGAAATTAAGAACGAAACACTGTGAAGAGCTGCAGAAAGATCTCTGTGAGCTTCAAGAATGGTCGAAGAAATGGCTGCCAAGATTCAATATCATGAAGTGTAAGAGGATGCACCTAGGTCGTACCAACAGATAGAGGCACACCACATGTCCCAACAGGACGAGGAAACTGCATTAATAGAGACCGAAGGTGAAAAGGACCTGGGTGTGTATGATGACAATGAACTTAAGTTCTCGAGCCATTGTGAAAAGAAGGCGAATCAAGCAACGAAACTAGTAGGTCTTTTTGGAAGGTCGTTCAGATATCTGGACCGTTCCTCGTAACGAACTTCAAGAATAAGGTGCTTCCCCGTCTGGAGTACTGTCACCTCGTCTGGTCCCCAAGATATACTAGACTGATTAAAAATGTCCTAAGGAGTGTCACCAGACTAGTGCCTGCACTACGGCACCTCAGCTACCCAGAGAGATTAGAACGCCTGCAACATCTAATTGAAGTGTATAAAAATCTCAGAGGGCACTACTCAGTTGAGTGTACATACCTGGAGCTGGCGGACGCCCGCCCTGCAAGGGGTCACAGCTCAAGGTTGAAGAAGCCACAAGTCCAGAAAACAGTGAGGGCAAACTTTTTCGGAGTGAGAATTGTGAACTCTTGGGACTATCTGCCAGAGAGTGTTGTGTCGGCACCAAGTGTGAGCTCTTTCAAGGCCAGACCTGACCAACACTGGAGCAGGTTCAAATACAGTTAGGAGCCAGTTCATGCCCGGTACTTGCCAATAGTGCGTAACATAGACGTGAACCGACCGCCCAAGCGGCGAACGGGCTCATCAGTGGCGAAAAGGAATATTTAATTAAATCCATAAGAGTAGGAATCATCTAAATTTCCTCTGTTGAATGATTATAAATTTCATGTACGGAACCGAACTTAACAGACAATACGTGATGTCGTACTCTAAATTCTTGATGATAAGAATGAACGACACTCAAGAAACTTAGCAATGGCGTCCACCAGCAAAGCTAATTAATGCTGCATCACCTTTTATCGCCAGATGTCTGCTATTACTATGTCAAGTTTCATCACTATTATGTATCGTGTCTATGTGACTCACTGGGTGACGGGGGAGGATTCACTGTCTCTGAATTTCAACGATAGTTTTGCATGGAAAAATAATTGTCATCGAGAACATACTGTATATCTACCTTAAGGGGTTATGATAATTATTGGAATTACATTTTTAATTAAACAAATATTCATAGGGCAATAGACAAACAAAAAAAGAAAATGCGTTATTACAAAACTCTTGGTCAGTTAGAGTAAAGTTTACTTAAAGAAAAGGTGGTGCATGATTGAAGACACTTACCAGTATGGCAGAGTAAGAGTAAGAAGAGGTGTTTAGGTGTCATGGTAAGCGTGAAGTGCCGCGTTACCATCGGGTACTGTACACTCTCACTACCTTCACTGCTATGTCCTCTCGTCAGACGTACAGATAGGTAACTGACGCAGATGATGAAAGTGTCCACAGGCCACTTCAAATGAACGATGAAACAAACTCTGGGGGTGTGTTGACAGTTACCATGTAAGTTATTGATAAAGCAATATTAATAGAATGTTTATAACACTACTCTCCCTGAACATCCAGATCTGTAAACCAGAAACATCTTACAAGGAGGAATTGCTATCAATATAATAAAAGTGGTTTTGTTGATTTAAAAATAATCTCTCTATGACAATATCTGTCAAATCTTGTACCATCCTTAATCGGGAATTAATAACACTGCAGCTTCAATTAAGGGAACCCGTTGATAAATCAGGAAAATTATAAACAAATCTTTGTAAATACGTCAAATGTCCTTAGCGCGGTATATTTACTACCAGACAGTGAAAATATGATGATCTTTCAGAGCTAGGGGTAACTAATATACCTGAAAAAGAGAGAAACAATATATACCGAGAGGGAGGTAACAATGCATTCGTGGCGTGGTGCTTAAGGTGGGAGGAGAGATAGTATTGTTTGAGCCAACACACAAGGCACTCACTATGATAAACTCATTGACCTTGATAACTGCAACCCGCCTCCTTTCCAACATGAACGGTAAGTACTAATACTGTCACATCCACACTTTATTACAAGTCCAACACTTCTTCAAACACGATTTTTTCTCGATTAAAATCATCAAATATTTCCAGAAGCATATTTGTTGAAAAGAAAATGACTTTCTCCTGAAAAAAGTTACAACAGATTAGTAATTGTGTAGTACATGAATAGATCAGTGTCCACTCAGATTAAGTCAGCGATGATTCTGTCAAGCAGGGAGAGTAATGGTTAGAAGTCTTACTCGCTCCCTAAAATCAGTTTCAAAAGAAGCACAATTATTAAAGAGATGATATGAAAGGTTCTCCAGAAAACATCACGTGGTAAAGATAATCATACTTCATTCAGGACTGTTCAGCTGACGGCCGAGAGCCAGTCTGATAGTTGGAAAGGAGTAGTTCAAACTTTACAATTTGTTTTGAAGTTTTCCACAAACTCATTAAGTTCCTAGTGAATGAAATAGATGGTCAAATAAGACGCTTTCCAACAATCTGATGTCACATTTCTCTGAAATTAAGACTAGAGGCTCTACAGAACACTTTCAACAATTCAGAGACAACGCATGGGAATCTAATGTTTACTATCTGATCAAATGTTGTAGCATTGTACACAGTTGTCACTAAGAATAGAAGAATAAGTTCAGTTCAACTTATGAGGAATTTGCAACAAAGAAATTAAGTAAAATCACAAAACATACTCGTATATATTGTTGATAATGAGTTTCATTACACTAATAGTACTGTTTAAGCACATAAGTCATGTAAAAAATGCACTAAAATAGGAGTAAGTACAATATATATATATATATATATATATGTGTGTGTGTCTTGAATAAAGACGAAAGTTAAGGGCTCCAATGTTTCCCTTTTCCTGTGTGATTTATCGATATTTATCTTGTCCATGTTTCTATTGTGGATCTAAATTCTAAAAAAAATATAAGGAATACCTCACTGATAGGGAATCGAACCCTGCGTGTGTACAAGGACAACGTTGTCATTGTGGTGCCATAGGTCCAGGGTTCGATTCCCGATTAGTGAAGTAGTGTTTGTATATGGAAGTCCGCGTGTATATGGACTGCTTCAATTTGCATGCATGATCGAACATGGTGCAGATATCAAATCCCAACTCAGCATGGCGCATCGAAGTCTGACCTTGTTTGT